TTGGTAAGATCCCCCCCCCCCCCCCCCCCCCTTTTTTTTTTTTTTTTTCCAGACTGTTTCTTTTAAAGTGTCAGGATTCTTTTGAATTTTGACCTTGCCCTCCTGTGTGCTTGCAGCCCCTCTCAGCTTGGTGTAGCCTTCTAAGGTGATCAGCATGGTCTCCCTGCTGTCATCTGAGTCAGAGATGAAGACACAGGTAGTATCAGATCTGGAATGGGTTTTCCTGGATCCTTACCTGCTGGTAAGGGCCTTGTAGTCTGTGTTCAAAGAGCAATGACCCTGTCACTGGTGGTCTTCTCAACATTGGTGCACCCACCTCTGGGTAGCTCAGTCCAGCCCTGTATCTTTAGCTGTGTTATGTGGGTGTCCTGTGAGACACTATCAGAGGTGTATCTGAAATCTTTGTTTCTTCTCCCCTTCCTACAAGTCCTGGCACCTTGTTGCAGAAAGAAATAGCATAGAGTTGATGAGATTTGTTCTTGATAAACAGAGGTTAGTTCTTGCTCAAGTTTTCATTGTCTTCTAAGCACTTCAGCTGAAGTTAAGCTGATTATTCTAGAGTTTCCTGCATCCTCCTAACCTCATCCCCTTATTTTTCAAAGACAGGCCTCTTGTTTGCCAGTTGTCCATAACACCAGCCATCTCTCAGGAGTGGCTGGAGATGATTCCTGATGATCCTGAACTGTTCATGTAATTGTGTCCTGGGTCAGGCTGGCAAGATGTCCACTTTGCCCCCAGTTGGAAATAAAACTATACTAAAACATGTGAAGCATTGCAGAGCTTCCCACTCTGTGTTGGGAGGACAAAACAATTAGTCAAAAGAAAATAAACTTGGTCAAACCAGCTCTAGGGCTGATTTTCTGTGACAGATGCAGGGTTTGTTTACCCGCCAACGGTGTTTTGCTGTGCTGTGATTATTAGCAAAGTTTTGACCTCGTGGTCTGCAGGAAACAGATGCTGCCTCTTTCCAATTATAAATGAGGTTTGAAATAAGTCTGCTGGAGTAGGCAAAGAAGGGCAGCCTCAAATAGCACAAGCAGTCACCCAGGCAGCCATGCCCAGCATCACAGGGTGGTTTGGAGGTGGACCCTGTGCTGTGTGTTGTGGTGATGGGTGTCTTGGCCAAAGTTTAATGTTCTCTCTTTGCTGATTCTAAGGTTTAAGTATGGTTTAACTTCCAAAAGCCAACAGCTGCCTTGGAAGGTGCTCCTCTGTATCCTGCTATGATCAAGTGGACCTGTAGGGTGATCTGTGGTTGGAGCATCAGAGCTTTGGAGAGGCATGGACAGGCTTGGGCATCAGTGTGCCTGACGTGGGGATTGCAGGGAGTGTTCTACTGAGGGATCAGTAACACCAAGAAGCTTCTCTGACTTTAGATAAGTAATAAGTGCAGATGGGATGAAAGTGAACACGTTTAGCCTACCTGCAATTAAGTTATTGGGTTTTTTTCCCTTTCCAGTGATGAAAACTGCTCAGTTCCTCAATTCATATTCTCGTCTTGACTGACTGACCAACCATGTACCATCTTCCCTGCCCTTCTCCTTGTCCCTTGCAGCCTACCCTAGAGCCATAAATGCTGCAGGATACTTGGTTTTTCAGGTGTGTTTTTTGGGTTTGTTTGTTTTTTTAAAAAATTACTATTGAATTGGAAATTCTAAACCTCTTGTGAACCTTTTAGAAGACTCCTGATGTGCTACTCCTTGGAAATGCAGTGTTTTGAGATTAGGACTGCACCTCTGGGGCACAGCTATGCAGGGTGGGCTCTGTACCCACGCTACCTGTGCAGGCTGCCCCCAGCAGGTTTTTCCCCCCTCAAATTTTCATGAATGAACATTCCCCAGTCCCAGCCAGCTCCGGGCTCCCACTGTAAAACCACAGCTGCAGGGACATCCCTACCTGTCGATCTGCTGGCTCCGTGGGGTGGCTCTTTGCAAAATGCCTTCACACCCCTGCCATCACTTTGGGTGCAGTATTTTGGATGCTCATCCCAGGGAAACGGTTTGTTCCCGTGGGTGCTGAGAAAGCCTTTTGGAACAGACGAGCACGGCTCCTTGCAGGGCTCCCGCTCGCGTCCCGGTGCAGGGTTCGGGGGCTTGTGAGCGTGGTGGGGAGGGGGTGCTGGGGTGGGGTGGGGGTCTCCAGCCCCCGGTGCCCGTGGCTGTTGCTCCGGTGCCCGTTGCAGCGGGGCAGGCTCCCGCCGCAGCGCCCTACAA